ATATCCGGCTAATTTTAACTTCCATACTAAGAGATACCCCGGCTTGGAGTTTTGAAAAAAAAGTCCTCGTTTTATTTCGTCTAATTTGTAACTTTTTTAAAACTTTGAACTCTTAACTCGAAACTTAATGCAAATACTACCTGAAATAATATGAAAAATAATAATAAATCTAAGTTGTCTAAATATTATTTTTTGTATTTCGTAGAGCGCATTGTTTTAATAGTCTGGCTAGTTTTAAAACCATTCATAGAATAATACTTATGAAGTCTTAAAAAAAATCGTTTAATTTCATTTAATTTTTTTCGACTAACGTTTTTACAACTTTGGACTCCAAACATCTTGGCTTTCGAAAGAATCGGAACAAAATAGGAAACTATCTAAACTTGACCTATGGAGTGAATATTTTTATATTCATACGAGAGTTCGTTTTGTTTGACTGGCTTCAAAGCGAGCCTTTAACATAACGATTCTGTGAATCAAGATCTGTTTCAACGTGTTGAATTATTCAACAAAGATGAACAAAAGAACTAGAATTCCGCTCACGGCATGATGTAGCAGTCTCATCCACTAGACGCCTGTTAATAGAATAGAACTATTGATAGTCATAACAGATCATTGCACACCATGTCTTACCTGCAGGGCAGGTACTACCCTTAGTGTCAATTTATCAATATCGATTTAGTATAATTTTAGACTAGAATATAGAGTTGCGCGCGCTGTAATTGAAAAAGCGAACTGCGATTATGATTATGAGGTTTCCCAAAATTTGCCAGAGCGAAGGCGATACTAAAACGTTTTTTAAATCCTGAATTTCGCCTTATCTATGATATTCAAGTATAAAATTATAGAGTGACCACAGTAAATCCGTGAAACACTAATTACTAAATAGTAAAAATAGTGCTAGTTAAACAATAGAAAACAATGGAATTTGCATGAAATTGTGCTATTTAGTATTCCTAAAGTTTCACGGATTTACTTTGGTCACTCTACTAAAAACAATACTACAGTTTCGTATTCTCTTCAGCTCAGGGTTAGCCTCGATTTTCTGCAGAAAATTCTTGTGTTCCAGTGGAATTTCAAAGTGGAATTACAAAATGTTTGTTTTGTGGAAGTTGTGCATTCTCTACTTTACCGTTGGTATTTGTCAATATTTAGACAGTGATACGAGGCTAACCCTGTGTAAATGGGTCTGTAATCAAGAAACACAGCGGTAATTTGGAACTTGAAAATGGTCTATTATTCACCTCAGGCTCAGTGATTATGGTGATTATTTTCCTCGCGATTTTCACTGATAATCACTTCGCCTTCGCAAATTTTTACCTTGAATTTTTATAAAATGCAATAAAACATTTACAGCACCTCTTGCTTTTCTATAACCTCTGGCTGATTTCCAGCTAATTTGGATTGATTTTAACTTTCAGTTTCCCCTTGTATCTTAAAAGAGGTTACTTCTTTTATTTAGTGGCTAGAGAAAAGCAGTTAAAGCCAAGAAACATATTATATCTCTTTTTCGTTGAAATTGATATTAAGGAAAAGTTTTCATGAAAATGTCTTACTTTAAAGATTTGGTTCATTGTTTGCTGATCTTTTTATTTATAGGATTTGCTATCACGAATGGAGGTGGCCTTGTCGTGTTCCAGATATCTGAAGAACAACCAATCGGTAAGAAGCATACACATTTATAGCATAGCTTCCTAATTTTCTAGCCTTCGTGCAGACTGAATTTAACCGTCATCTTTACGACAGTTAAATTCGGTCTACACGCAGGTTATAATTTTCTTACTCCAAGTGCGTAACAAAAGGGAAAGTAACGTGACATGATCCGATGTGCATGAGTATCATGATAACATGTCTAAAGAACTAATTAGTGGTTGTGCACGATAAAAGGTTAAGAAAAAAATGTATAAATGTATAAACCAATGTCCCTAAGATTTTTTAAAATAATATGTAGACCTTTTAATATATTTGTATTAAGGACGTTCATGGGAATTTAAAAGAAATGTAAAAGAACATTGTGTTAGAAAGAAAAATAACACATTAAAAAATGCGAGTCTCCGACTTCGCTTTGCCGTCAGGCTGTGTTGAAGTTCAACTTTTTTGAGGTAAAAACGCGGAAACTACACACACATGGAAAGCTGTCAAAAAGAAGCCATTTCATAATGAAAAATAAATTGATCGTCCCCGTTTCTCACAGAGCTCTAGAAAATGACAATCTATTCGCTTAGCATGTATACTTTGTGCAGAAAATTAGAAATATAAATCGTTATTGTGCTACAAGTGTGGACTTGTAGCCTTCACGTTACGTGAAATTTTATTCCAATGCGCAAAATACGTAAATTCGATTTTTTTCTCATCGTCAGATAATTTTCATTTTTCTTTTTCTTGAACGGTAAATTATTCGTTTATTGTCATTGTGAATGATTCGTGCATATTTTGATATTCCAGGAACTGTAGTCTTCACAGTCATAACGAACGAGCCTGCAGATTCGTTCGAGTTGACAGACGCTGGTGGTTACTTTGACATTAACAGCACAACTGGGGAAGTATTCATACAGAAACGAATCGACAAAGAGGTGAGTTTAATGACTATATATTAATGAGCAGTTTTGCCCGTGTTGTTGTTAGGAAGACATGTATATATACACTGCCGCTATGGCTCTGTGTCCGGCTCATTACTATGTAATTCAAGTCTGGGATCATTTATTCCATGCCCGGTTTAACAGCATATGTGAGTTGAGTTTGTTTGATATGCTTTTTTCTCCGAATCATTTGATCTTTCCTCTTCCTTTAACATTTATTTCTATACCCCAGTGGACTACTTCGATGATACGGCGGCCATCTTGGATCCAAAGGCATTGTAGGGGGTCCAAGGTGCAAAACGAAACAAAAAAGTTGATCAATGTGCGGTCTTTACCTGCAATAATAACAGGCGAGATAAAAATCATATGTCTTCAAGCCTATTTTTGCCCCCTGAGAAGCCCCACAATCCCTTGCTTTCCAATATGGCCGCCGTATCGTCGAAGTAGTCTATATTGACAACTTTTCTTTTGGTTACTTTGCATGACATAAATGCCAAATAATGATCGACAGCCGTTGACAGCACATAAGGACGAAGTTTCTTTTAAAAATTCTAGATTTCAAATCATACACACATGCAAAAAGCTTTTTCTTTTTTTAATTACTTTATTAAATTTATTATTTGCCACAACTTTAACAATAATCCTATTTGGTTAACAAAACTCACACTCCCTCAAATTGTCTCAGAGTTCTTAAGTGTATTCTTCGTTTGCAATAGACGTCATAGCCCGCGCCATGTTGGAAGAATTTGACAAAAGATTTTTCAATGAATTATTTTGTTATATCTTCCAACATGGCGGACATCACTTTTGTTATTGTGCTCTCTTGGGATTGATTGCAAACCAAGAATTTTTAACTCATAACGTTTCCGCTCTTTCGAGGTTCCTTTCTCTTTTCCTTTCTTTAATTTCATCTTATCTCTCGGCTCTTATCCCTCTTCTTTTCCTTGTCCTCTTGTCTCTCTCTAATTGTTCTTTCTATTCAGTCATCTTTGGTTTCTCGATGCTAATGTTGTCTCACATAGCTGCCACAAACCACCGTTGTTTCACGTCTCTTGGACCTGCAACACTCTTTAACGCTATAACCGACTACTTTATTTATATTAATTTGGTTCACGTATCTTCGTGCCTAGTGCATTCATTAGCTAATGGCTTTATGTTCAATTAGTAATTCTTTGTACAAATATTTGCGTGACTATTTATTTCATTAAAGTCATCATTAATCATTTCTAGAATGTATGTCAAACTTACCATTACATTGTCGACAGGTTATAGGAAGTTCTCGGCTCACCGCTACAGTCACAGCGCGTAAGGATAGCTTAACGGTAAGGTCATCTTGCTTTTCCCGTAATTATAAAACATTGTACAATTAAGAAAATATAACCCTACCAAGGCTAGTCACTGCAAAAGACGGCAAATGCTAATTAAATATGCTGATTCTAAAGAGTTTCTTTCATTCCCAGGCCACTGCCAGCCTCAAATGTCTAGTCAATGATATTAATGACGTCACTCCATCTTTTCCAAAAAGATTCTACAATGTTTTAATTAGTGAGGTATTACAAAATATGTCGTCACTATTCTTCCTGACTTTAAGCCTTCTCTTCTTCCTTTTCTCTTTCCTTTCCCTATTCAACCATTCCATGCTATCTAATTCCATTTCATCCCATCCTTCTATCTAATCTATCCAATGACGTGTATTGTCCCACGATGACGATGATGATGGTGGTGATGATGATGACAACGATGATGAAGATGATGATGATGATGATAGTGCAGATGGTGATAGTGATGATAATGATAATTATGATAATGTTGATGTTAATGTTGATTACAATAATGATGACGATAATAATGGCCTTGATGATAACGACGATAATGATGTAATGAGGATAATGATTGTGGACGCAACCATAAACTAAGTACACATTGTTAAATAGTTAAATAGTTAAATATAGAGAATAACTAAAGTAAATCAAGAACCGGCGAAATGAACGAGAAAAATACTTACAAAACAAACTGGTGCAAACTTGACTTGGACTGACAAAAAAACTTAGTTCTAGTGAATTTACACTGGAAATTTGAATAATCAATGAAATGGAAAAAACCTTGAGTACAGAAAACAGTGAAAAACAATGTAACAAAGAGACTTAGAAAACTAAGTTAGCAAACGATAGTGAGACAGAATGAAACGTAATTTCGTGCATGAAAATAATAGAAAATACTTTGCATCTTGCACCTACAATGATAATGTTGTCATCTTGTTTATTGATAGTTTGTTTTTCGTGTGTGTGTTCCAATCAGAAAACATCAGTAGATAATGTGGCGTATACTCTCAAAGCAGAGGACGCAGATACAGGTAACAACGGCCAACAATTTGTAACGTATGAGATAACAAGTGGAAATGAGGTGAGAAGACGTTCCTTCGTGACACTTTATATTCTCGGTGTTCTCCTATGTCATCATCAATTTATTTCAAAAGCTTAATTTTGTATTATATGATAAAGTGAAAGTTTCATAATCATGTAAATCGGTAAAAATTACATCTAATGGTCAAGTTTCAAGGCTGTAGAGCACTTCATTGTATGAAGAATTATGGGCGAGCTAACATGGCGCCATTCTTGGGAAATATATAAAATATAAATAAATAATGAAACAAGCAAACAAACAAATAAAAAAATAAATCACTTTATTTGTCTAGTCGTTCTAGCGCTTTCGCACTAATCGGGGACCCTTGTATGGAGCTGCCACATTGGTGTTCCATAATTTAATGCTGATGCACCAACATGGTGAACGAAACTTCAAAGGCATAATATGATGTAATACTAAACATTTTAAAATTGTATCTTACTGAAATATACTTGAAATCGATAATTTACACGTACCTAAGGCAAGGTCTTTCAATTAGGGTAGACTATTATTACTTATTAGTTATTATTCAGATACACGTGAAGGTATTGCGTGACACCAAACATGAAAATGACTCGAAATTTTTTCTCGTGACTTATGACAATGATTTCTTAAACACGCTTGAGAAATGTCTTTATACGAAGTATAGTTTAGATTTTGATTTTTTTAAGACGTCAAAAGCCAGAAGTCTATTTCAAACTTTATTCTTTTAAATGATTCCCGTTCTTTCAGGATGGATCGTTCTCCATAACACAATACGGTGGAGAGGTGAAAGTATCACGTGACCTGGATTACGAAACCAAGACACAATACGCCCTGAACATCACAGCACGGGTTGGTAATATGTTGTATAGCAGAAGAACCATATCAATTGCTCATGATGGCCTTTTTCAACGCGTGTTTTTGTAGGATAAACCTGGTCTTAGTAATTGGACGATTCTACAAGTCACCGTTCTTGATGCAGATGACTTGCCCGCTAAGTTTACTTCGTTTATTTACACGGCTGAAGTCAGCGAAGACGCCTTATTGGTCAGTTGACTTTGAACACTTGAATAATTATTATATTATTATCGTATCATCATCATCATTATCGTCATTTTAGTATCACTATCTAGATGATTATAAAAAATCGTGTGCGCGGGGATTGGTTGAAAACTTCGAACAATTTATCCATAATCAACTACAGGGCCCGGTTGTACAAAGGTTGGATAGCTCTATCCGACGGATAAATCTTATCCAGTGCATAAATCTATTGTATAACAGCATCGACCTTTCCACTGGATAAGATTTATCCGTTGGTTAGCACCATCCACCCTTCATACAACGGGGCTCTGGTGATCAAAGGATTGCGCGCGCCGTTTGCTGATGCGTGCCGCTTTCAAAATAGAAATTAATATATATTTTTAGAAATATTGCCATTCGCGGTGACTTGGTTAATATTCACCGATAATCACTTCTCCTTCTGCGAATAATCGTTTTAAAAGAAATCGTCACTCATCGACCCAATTTATTAAGCTTTGTCGCTTTAACAATTGCTTAACATTTGTCGTGGATGCCATCAATTTTGCCAAAGAAAAGTAAAGTAACTAGAGTCACAAACGTCTAAAAAAATTATCACGCTTGTGACTGAATGACTCTGTTTTGTTTTCAGGGAACAAGTATTTTACAAGTCGTTGCATTTGATCTTGATAAATACATCAACGGTTCTGTCACGTATGGCATGGATCAAGGTAACCTTGGACTGATTTTCTTTTGAAGTGTGCAAATAGTAAAAATGGTGATACTGGGGGGTGGGGGCGGGAGTAACCTGTGATGGACGAACATTCAATAATACTTCATCCTACAAAAGCTAAAGCTCAGTTCTGAAGAGTTTAGTGGTTTTTGATTTTTCAAATTGACAGGAAAAGAATGCACATCAACTTCAACCTTTAAATTGTATCGATACCCTGAAACAGCTAATGACGTCAGGGCACGGGTAACCCACTTAGCAAATTGGAAATGTTACGCTTCAGTTACGCTTTGAACTGCAGACTTTATTCTGTAAACTTAACTACTACGTTGTAGATCGAGGGCTGACATGTCCGATCTGCCAAAACTGATTTATACTGAATCACCCACACTTGCCACGCACTCGCGTCACGCTCACGTCGCACACTAACAGAAATACGCCCGCTTTTACTCTGTGACGCCTTGAGTTGCAAATACCAATTTGTTTTTGTTGTATTCTTTTATTTCCCAGTAACTAATCCTTCAAGATTATTCGTTATAAACAACGTGACAGGGTTGATATCACTGAACGGATCTCTGGACAGAGAATCTGTTGCTGAATACAGTATACGTGTTCTGGTATGTAGAGTTACTCATTTTTTACACGGTGTGTTTTACTTGATGTTGCTTACCAATATATTTTGCATACGACATTCTGACCGTTATCTCTGTATGACGTCATACAGGCATATTCGTCATATCCTTTTACTGATCACGCCACTGTTAACATCAAAGTGACAGACGCCAATGACAACAGACCTATATTCACACAATCAGTGTATCAAGGCTCCGTGGTGGAGAACTTAGCAGCTGGGGCGAGCGTGTTGAAAGTAAAAGCAACAGACAAGGACCAGGTATTTTGATAAAGTAAAAGCTAATATGAAGGGCTAAGTGACCAGGGTTCGTTTACCGGACTCGGTGTTGTGTGTCAGTTGAGTTCTCACGGTTGGTTCTCTTGCGCTTCGAGAGTTTGTCACCGGTTCTCCTATTTTCCTCCCTTCACAAAAATATGGGACGAGGGCACGAGGACAGGTTAAATTCGCTTGGCTGGTCACGAAACAATGGTTTCAAGTCGAGGTTGAACTTGATGAATAAAAGAATCAAGTTCAATCTCGACTTCAAACCATTGTTTCGTGGTCAGTCAAGCGAATTCGGGATAGGTCTATTATTCACAAAAACCAATCGTAAAGTAAAGAATGCACAACATTAACAATACAAACACATTGAACTTCCACGGACCTTCACTGGAACGCATGAATATTCTACACAAAATCGAGGCTAAACCTGAAATACAGAGAACTCGAAACTGTAGTAATATTAGTATAATTTATTTAGCATGACTGTAGTAATTGTATTATAATTTTAGACTTTAATATCATAGATAAGGCGAAATTCAAGAAATTTTGGGAAACCTTATAATCATAATCGCGAGAACAGAGAACTCGAAACTGGATTATTATATTTTGTTCGCGCTTAATAATCAGTGAGATAATAATGGAGACTAGCAATCCATTTAATGTACGTGCTTCAGGTTTTGCGAAAAGAAAACGTTTTTTAAAGTAACTTTATAGCCCCCTTGCAGTACGCCGGAATGCGGCTCAATTTGTATGGCATAACAAAATAGATTTCCAATTCTCAGGAGATTGTAATTCTTAATTTTGTTTTTTCCTCCAAATTCAGCTGCTTTGACGTCACATGCAAGGGGTCTATTGCAACCGAAACAAGAAAATGCTCGATTGTGCTTTAGTGTACATCCCATAATTTATCAAGAGCAGCTTCCCAATTTCGCCGAGTTTAGTTTCCAATGCTATAACGACCTTAAATCAATCTTCATTTTTAAGGGAATCAATGCGGAGCTACGCTACCACATCAATCCTGGTAATGATGCAAATAGATTTTCAATCAACCATCAAACAGGCGTCGTTACTACTGCAGCAGAACTTGACAGAGAAGAAAAGAATTTGTACAACGTTGCCGTTGTTGTAGAGGACATGAATGGTAAAAGAGCGATGGGAAACGTGCTTAATAAAACTGCTACCGTATATATCCATGTCAAGGTAAGACAAAACCAAACATTTATTTTCAGGACACGGCTAACTCCCAGATCAACCCCTGAAAGAGATCGAATTAAAATTGAGCTCGTTAGGAATTAAAATAAGGCCCCGTCCACACTATGCCGGATAAATTTGAATCCGAATTTCTATTTATTCGGTTAGGCCTACCGTCCACACTAGTCCGGGCGAATCCGGAACAATTCTTCACCGAAAACGATTTTTTTTCGAATATGGTCTCCAGAGTGGGACAATTTGAAAACGCCGGCTAACCGTTAGCCTCCTCCGCAGGCGTCTTTCGTCTCTTTTTTGTTGAATTGGGATTCCTGAGTCGCGAATTGGGATTCTTGTCGAAAGAGACTAGGCGCTAATTAGGCGAGAGAGAGAGAGAAAGAAGAGACGCCTGCCAAAACCCGGTGCGTATGGACATCTCACTTCACCCAAGAGACATGTCACTTCAGCAGGAGTTCCCACGGGACTTTTGTTATAAACATTTATCCATGTAGGGTAGACTGGGGATCGGTGTTGTTGTATGGAATGAACTTTTCTCTCTCTCTTTTCTAGCTCTCTTTCTTCTCCCCTCTCCTCAGTCCCCCTCGTCTTAAAGATACAGGAAGCCCAATACTCAAAAGGAGAAAAGAGACAAGAGAGATGCATGCGGAGGAGGCTAGGCTAACCGTATAAGTGTGGACGGAGAACATTTCGTATTCGAAGTTTTTCGGATACGATGCCGTCATAATTGTCATGGAAACATGGCGGGAAGGCTAAAAATTCACCGCGGGCTCAATTTCAGCTTCGATGCGCATGCTCAGATGTGCAATGAAGCGTTTTTGCCGCCTCTGATCGGACTAGTGTGGACGCGAAACATTTTATCCGTTTTCATGTGTGGACGGAAAACATTTTTTCGGTTTCGGTGTGAAAATTTCGGATTCAAATTTATCCGGCATAGCGTGGACGGGGCCTAAGAAAGAAAATGAGAAAAACCCTCGAGCCAAGGGAAATGGCAATTCCAGAAATCTAACCCGAGTTCCCAGAGATGAGAATTGAGTGTACTACTGCTAAACCAATCCATGATTTCCCTTGGCTTTCAACAGGATGCCAATGACAACGCTCCTGTCTTCACGTTTCCATCGTACAACGTCACCATCAACGAATCCATTGCCGTTGGCGCAAAAGTGAGTCAGGTGGAGGCTAAAGACCCGGATGTAGATCAAGATATAATGTATGCCATTACTGGTGGTAATGATTTGTCAAGGTTCCTGATTGGTAGAAGAAGTGGTATCATTTATGTTAGAAGTGTTATTGACAGAGATCCACCTCGTAACGAAACAGCATTTACTCTGGAGGTGAGTATTGTATTAAATATATTTTAGTGAATAATAGTATTAAAAAAAACCACTTAATTTTCTATAGTATTCTTCTAACCGTTAATCGTAAGCAGTTTCATTTTTCTTCTACTTTTTTTTTACATTTTCTTATTTTGTTTTTATTCATCCATCCAGACTTTTTTTTATTTTATTAGCCATTAATTCATACATTCGCTCGCTCGTTCGTTCGTTCGTTTATTTTTTCTCCATCCATCCATCCATCCATCCCTCCATCCCTCCCTCCCTCTGTCCATTTATTCTTTATTTTTCTACTATGTGCAGGTGATTGCAATAGATGCCAAAAATCATTTGTTGAACTCCACAACAACCGTAAGTACTGCTGCATTTTTGTTAGCTAACATAAATTTTCATTGGTTTAATTCGTATGTTTCTTATCTTTCTTTCCTACTTACTTTCAATACTTTTATCTCACTTGTATTTTTTTCCAGGTAACAGTGGCTGTACATGACGTCAATGATAGCCCCCCTCATTGCTCACAAGGTAAAACTATCCATGATGCATTAAGAATAACTAATTTGTGAATCAAGATATATTTAAATGTGTTAAATTACTAGTTCAACAGAGATGAACAAAAGTACTAGAGTTCTGCTCACGGCGTGATGTAGCAGTCTCATCCACTAGACGCCTGTTAATAGAATAAAACTGTTGATAGTATGTCATTTTCACCGTCAAAGCAGCCATTCACCTCATACACGCGGTTAAGTTTTGGGAATACGAGTTTTGCCGAGGCTGTGATTAAGCTATCAGACTGAACTGTTATAATGGAGAAACGTCGCCGAAGGGGAGGTGGGTGGGGTCAAAAATCCGTCTAGCACTGACTGGTACGGCGAACCTGAGCAAATGAGGTCGAAACCTTGGATTTTCTCGCTTAAATAGGCAACTGCCGACCCGGGGGCATTCATAATGCTTCTCACCTAGGAATCACACCCAGAAAGTCATGATAACATTCCGCGCGTACTCGTTTCATGGCTGCTTTAGGGATGAAAATAGTCATTAAACAAACGTAATTTTTAGGTCGTTCTTGAATTTTTTACTTGAATTCTACAGCGGTGTTGACCACCAAGGGTGCGAAGTTTGAGATGAATTTATACGAAGCAACACTAGTCAAAGATTCTACGCCAGTAAGTATTGGAATATCATTAATTAATTAAACTTTTACAATTGTTTTCTAACAGAGCTAACTTTTAAAGAAATAGAAATATCTATAAGAAAAGATACACCTACTTGCAAGAACGTTGTCATACGAAAATAGGAACATTAGTGATTTAGTGGGATAGGAATCATTTTAAAAAACAAAAGATCACTGAAGCTGAACTTTTTCTTTTGTTTTAATGTATTCCTTTCTCACTAAATTACTAATGTTCTAATATCGTATGACRACGTTCTTGCAAGTAGGTGTAAACAAAATAAATAAATAAATAGACAAAAAAATAACAATAACAAAAACAAAAACAAAAATAAAATAAAAAAAGACATAAGAAATTATTATTATATGGTAAAGGAATGGAGGAAGTTGGTAGCTGACTATTGAGATATACTGATTAAGGATATATAGGTAATTGAATTAGCGGTGTTGATGCGAAAGAAAATGTAGATGTTTAAAGTAAAGGTTTATGTAGTTAGAACGAAATGTTGATATTGATTTTATGAATTTTAGGGCTTGAATTAACATTAGTAATGGAAAATGTATGTTTTAGTTTTATGTGTTTGTGTGTGATGTAAGATATTGTTTGAAAAAGCAATAATTCTATAGGAAAACAACCGTATACGAATTGAAAAATTTTGGGTCTTCTATGGTGTTACGGAATTACTTACATAACTCGATGACATAGTGGCTTCGCCTCTACGAGACAGTAGCCACAAAAAACCTAACACCTTATGAGATAACAAGAATTAAAGGAAGAATCTAACAAACTACGGGGATTTGCAGAAATAACAAATCACAGAAAAGTGCCTTGCTATAACGATACCTTTTTAATTTTTATGATGTGAATCAAGTGCCTTGATTATTTTGTTAAACTTTCTTAAATGCTGTTTTTTGTTTTGGCCACTTTATATTCATTATATTCATAATGTTTTAGTAAGTTTTGAAATAAAGAAAGAGAAAGGGCTTTTCCTTTTTCTCTTCCTTTATATAATGACAGTTTCTAAACTAGGATGATAAAATTGATGGAGTTGTCATCGACTGCTAAATTATTTTGAACTTATTTGATTCTGGTAAAAAAAATTTCGAATGATTCTCGTATTTGAAAACAGAGGTTTTTGTCTCTAGGCGGTCAACAAACAAATGATCTACTGTTTCACGATGGAATGAACAAAAAGAACATGAGGAATAACCAATAATCTTAGAACGATCGAGGTCCCGATTTAAATATAGAATTTTGTTTAAAAATTTAATATTGAAACATCCTCCACTTGTGTCGCATCGGATCTTCTTGTTGAGAGGTTGCAAAGAATACAGAACYCTGCAGCTCGTATTGTCACCTTCACTAAGAAATTCGATCATATCACTCCTGTGCTGGTTGATCTTCACTGGTTACCTGTTCACTACCGAGTCATATTTAAGCTGCTGCTGTTAACTTACAAGGCCTTGAATGGCCTTGCTCCTTCATATTTGTCTGATCTTTTGACCTATCGCTCCTCCAGTTATTCTCTACGCTCTGTCTCTAATAAACTCCTCGTTGAGCCTAAAGCTAGGCTTAATACTTATGGTTTCAGATCCTTCTCCTT